GTCTCTTTGTACTAGTATGATATTATGATATATAATCCACTTTTAAGAATGAAAATTATGTTGCTCATAATTACACTAAGACTAGACTATAAGCCTACACAAAGATTGTTTTGAGCAAACTAAAGTTTATAGTCAAATTTTTAACTCTTCAAAGCCCCATGCCATACTATTAACCAGAAATGTCACTATAGTGCCTCTACAAATAAGATATCAAAATGTTAGTTATGCAATAATATTAGCATGCTATCACAAGAATTAGATTGTGTTTAATGAATAATATTTTGATTATACCAGGTAGTCACAGGATAATTTTGTAAAATGATTCATCCATGAAAAGAAAGAAGGTATTTTGGTTATTTAGCCCAAAGTATCTGAGCGCTCTTTCCAGACTTCCCAAAGCCTGAGGACTGCTACCTTTGGAAAGTTAAAAAAGACCAAAAGAGAGGCCTATCTTGTTTGAGATGTTGACTATTAGTGATCTTTTTGTTATAGCAACTAAGCCAATAACCTAATACTGTGCAGACTATCAAGCAATCATTTTTATTATAAAAATTGCTCTCTTATTCACTCTTTTCTAAAATTTAGAGAAAATAAATGTGCCATAGAAATGTGTTTTGAAGGTTATTGGCTTTAGTTTCAACCCAACTTGAAACCTCATGATGTCAGAAAAGAATTAATCAGCCATCAAAAAGAGCTTTCTAAATTCAGACTTCTGCATAGACAGAGCCTTTTTCAATTATTTCAATGAGAACTAGGTGCTCTTAGAAGTCAGCTGGACTGGACTATAACCAAAGAAAGAAAAATGATATTCTTTCAGGGGTATAGTGTATTGTGTATATAATTGTACAATCCTGTAAACAGCTCAAATTAAGACTTTCTATATTCCTGAAAGTATGATTTCCATGACCTCTATTTGAGTTTAAGACAGACTCACTAAAACTGTTTTTTTATGTGAATATGCATTTATCCAACAAACAAAACGCTATATAATCTGGCTAAACTGTAGGGTTCTCACACATTGTAGTTATCTCTGCATGGGATGATTGTTAGTGAGTCTGTGTGCCCTTTTCTTTCTTTAAGTTTTCTCATTGAGAGTATACTACCTTGAAGTTATGCAAAATAACAGTATTTTAGAAATTATACAAAAATCTTTTAAGAAAGGTCACTAAATATATGTATAGAAAGATCCTTAAAATTTTTAAATACATAGAGAGAGGATTCTCTCTTACTTGTCTGTGTAATAAATAATTGTAAAATTAGTAGCCTCAAAAATCAATACACACTTATTCCACTTTCTCTGTGGATCAAGAATTTGGATTCAGTTAGGTTGGCTGGCCTGGCTCAGGGTCTTTATGCCGATGCAGTTAGGAAGCTGTCAGGGCCTGAAGCATCTGGGGCTGAAGGACACACTTCTCCACACATCGCATTCACAGGGCATTTGCGGGGGGCTTCAGTCCCTCACCAAGTGGGCCTCTCCATAGGTAATTGGAATTTCCTTACAACACAGCTGCTGGCCTCTCCCAAAGTGAGGGATCTGGAAAGGCAGAAGCCACAGTGAGTTTAATGACAGTATGAAAATGACATATATCACTTCAATCACATGTTATCATTAGAAGAAAGTTATTAAGTCCAACTCACACTCAAGAGAAGGAGAATAAATCTCCTCTTCTGGAACAGATTATTTGTGAATCTGTAGACATATCACAAGCAGATACATACAATATATTTTTTTAAAAATCTTAGCTATCACTGAGAGTAAAAATACAATTATTACCAGAAAAACTTTTGAATCTTTTCTGCTTTTTAAAACTTCTGGTTTTAATACAAAAATCATATATTTTGTACATAATTTATCAGGGCTTCTTTAAAACTTTTGATGTTTATCATATGATATTTATTAGCAATCTTGATCCTGATATGAATGTATTGTAAGAAGAATAAAATTACAGCCATATTCACTAAGTATATAAACGCAAGAGTCTCAAAGAACTTATTAGTGAATTGAACTCAATTCTATGAAAAAGTTAACAATTTCCTAACCACATTTAATACATTCCAGAAAAAAAAATGATTTTAAATAACCTAGGCTGGGGATTTAGCTCAGCGGCACAGCGCCTGCCTGGCAAGCGCGAGGTCATGAGTTCAATTCCCGGTACTGGAAAAAAAAAATTTTAAATAACCTATAAATATAATTTATAACATTAAAATATTATAAGGGACAAGCATGTTACTGTGCAGGAAAAGACATTTGACATTTGAAAATGTTGAATTCATGATTAATGAACTTCGTGTAGGACAGGAATAGAAAACAATTTTCTTAAACTGATCAATTTTAGCAAACATTTTCATTATGGGGACATTTTGGGAGCATTCACCTTTTATTCAGAAATGGAACAAAAATGTTCACTATGATGGTTAAATGTGCTATGCCAACTTGGCTGACCTCTGAGCCACAGAAGAGATTAGCAAATCACACTTCTGGGTGTGTCTGGGTGGGTCATGGAGGAATCCCGAGGGTGATATGGTTAGTCCCTGGGCTCATCCTCTCTGGCACTGATTCCCTATTCTACTTCCCCACCACCGTGAGGTGAGCAGCCCTTCTCAGCCCATCCCCTCCACCATGATGTTCTCGCCTTGGAGCCAGTTGGGCATGGACTGAATTCCCTGAAACTACGAACCAAATTCTATCTCTCCTTTGTTAATTTGTTGACTGGCATGTAGTTGCCTCAGATACATGAATGACTATTACAAATCCATAAGAAAAACACTAATCAAAATCAAGTGTGCAAAGTATGCAACATTAAATTCACAAAGAGAATATTTAATTCATACATGAAAAGATCCTCTATCTCAAAACAAAATCCTAATAATGCTGATTTATACAACTATCATAAACTTTTTTTTTTTTTTTTGGTCTTTTTGAGACAGGGTCTCACTGTGCAGTTCAGGCCAGCTGTGAGCTCACTTTGTAACCCAGGCTGGTCTTGAACTCCCAATGATCCTCCTGCCTCAGCCTCCCAAGTGCTGGGATTACAGGCGTGTGCCACCACACCTGGCTCTATCATAAACATTTTAAAATTTGCAGGAACAACAACACTTTAAAACTATTGAACTCAGTCCTAGTGTTGATGATAAAGAATAACAGGAATTTTGCCTCTGCTGTTGGAAGTATAATTGGTACTATTAATTTGTAGAGCAACTCAGAAATATTTAGTGAAGTTGAAAATGTTCATGCCCTACTACCTAAAAATTTCACCTTTAGAGAAATAGTGACTAATGAGGAGATTGTAACATTAAAAACTTTTGTCTACTTCAGTCAATTCAGGCTAACTGATCTGCAAAGTAGGTAAAATGAATAAACCATATTCGCATGTATTTACACACATACATCTTGAAAACTATGTAGTAAATAAACAAGCAAAACTGCCAGTGGGAAAATAACACACAGTATTATACCTTTCTTGTAAATCTAGAAAGCAGATAACAATTTTACATATCATATACAATGTTATAAATCATTAATATTATATGTTATTATGGCTATTTGGAGGAAAAAATTATTTTTTAAAACCAATTACTGTTGATCTCAGTATTCTGAGTATATATCCCAAGAATATAAACAAAAATATCTGTAATGCAAAATATTTTTAAATTAAGCAACAAGTTCTATAAGATTGAAAAATACATAAATTATGTGAATATCCAACTGAGTGTAAAGATTTCTAAATGGATTGTTCACTTACCAAAACCCCTAGCAATCATTTTAATTTTTATTTTTTATTAGTACATGTATGAATTAAATTATTAAACATGGATAAAAAAGACAACACATCAACTTCGTGACTCCAGGGACAGCGCAGATCATGAGAGGCGTAAAGAATGGGGAAGGTCAGTGAGGTTTTCATTGTAACATTAAATGCTTATTTTCACAATTTGAAGAAATGTAATAAAATGTTAGCATTTGCTAATTTGATGGTAGTTAACTCTGTAACTTTTTCATGGTTCTAAAACTCATTCCTTATTTTAAATAAATGTCTATTAAAAATAACCTATTCAATTATTTGATAAGCATTATGCATTATTGCCATTCTTATTGTCCTTGAAAGTATTCTGTGCATATTATATCTGCGTCTCTGTGACTGAATACGCTCCGGCCTCGGTTTCATCATCTGGATAATACGGAAGGGGAGAACACACGGTCACGTGAGATTCTTCCCACCTACGAATCGTGCGAGGACACATTCGGACCAGAGCAATTCCACTTTGTGTTATTTGTTAACACTAACCCAACAGGCTCTGCTCCTCTGGGAAGAAAGGGGAAGTAAAAAGAACTAGGATGTGTTGTGTACCAGCTCCCCACGATGGCCGTCATCATTCCTTACTGCAAATGTAAACTTACGAAACTTTAAGAAACAAAAATGTTATCTTACAGGTTCTTCCTGGCTCAGACACTCCAAGCGCAGTTTCTTTCCCGTTCCCCTGTATTCCTCTTTCCCCCCACTTTAAACCTCATTACCTAAATCCGTCAGCACCTTCTTTTCCTCCCTTTAAATCTCCTTTTCTGAAAAGTTACCAGGAAGTATAAGCATGCACAGCAATCAAGTTTTCTAAAATCCTAGGAAACCTCTTTTCTTCCTTGCATCTTCAAGGTCTGTTTCACATAACGTTTTAAATGTTCCCCTGTCCTCTCCCAGGAGGCTGCGGCGTCCTCGCGGGGCACAGGAAGCCAGCATGAGAGCGGCTGTGCGGGATGAGCTTCAGCGGGAAATCGGGACTCCTGACTGCGATCCGGGCAGGGCGGTGGGGGAACAGGTCACACTTTGCAGCTGCCGAAGGAGTAGCACTCGGCGACCCTGGGGGGAGGGGGTATAGCGAGAGTGGGTGGCTGGGGTGCGGGGAAGGAGCGCTGCCCAGCTCGGAAACGTCGTGCAGCCTCCTGGCACCAGGGGGAAGGGACATTCGGCGGAGCTCAGTGGGGAGGAGACGGCCCAGACGGCGGGGTTGCAGCCGCGCAGGGCGCGAGGGACCCGCAGCTCCCGGGCTGGCGCCGACCTGGGCCGGAGCCCTAGGCGCCAGAGCAGGGGTGGAGCTCGGAGTGGCCATGGGCTACCAGGGACAGCAGCGCATCGTCCCGCCGCAGGTAAAGGCCCGCAGCTCCAGGCCAGGTCCCCTCGAGTTTCACGCCCCTGGCAACCTCTCCCTGGGGTCTTGATGTAGCACCGCAGAAAGTTGTCCAGGAGGAAAAAAAAATGCTTTAATCTGATATTTTCCCCCTTGACAAGCACTTTTTAAAATATAACTCAATTTCACAAGAAAGAGCACTGTTGGCTCCAACAGACCGGGCACTGTGTGTTCCACGCAGCGCGGGGCCGCGGGGCTTGCCGAGCTCGGCCGCACCTGTGGCTGTGACTGTCCCTCCTTATGTCCTCATCACTGTTGTGCTATCGTTATTGCCCTTACGTATTATTACCGATATGTTAGAACCTTGCGCTGCATATTTGTTGGACACTTTCTATATTTTTGAGCTTATAAATACTTGCTTCATGACCCTTATATCTATTAAAATAGGGGGATCTAGATGACCGAGAAACCCTCGTTTCTGAGCATGAGAATAAAGGGAAATCTTGTCAGTCTGCTGCTGTTTTTAATGTTGTCAACTCGATTATAGGATCCGGTATAATAGGTAAGTGTCCTAAGTTCTGTGTGATTGTGGGTTTTTTGTTTTGTCTTGTTTCCGAGTGCAAAGGCCAAATTTAAGACTCTCAGTTGCTGCCAGTGTTCATTGATTCTTTTTAAAGGGAAAAAAATCTCAGTGAGAAAATTGGTATTTTTCTGCCTTAAAAGCTGTCTTCCCTCCCACCAGAGAAAGTCTCTTTTATGCAGAAAATGTGATTGAGATTCATTCTCCCACACTTAAGACCATTTTGCACATACATTGTGGGGCTGCACGAAGGAGAAGCTGAAAAATTGCTTTTTTCTATGTGCTCTCTGGTCACCAGATTCACGCTTCTCCTCTTCCTGAAACGTCATTGTTACTTGAAATACTTTTACTGTGACCTCAAAAACCTCCAAATATTTGTAAATATTACAGGTACTGAAGTTTATTGTGAAAGAAATCTTGTGAAAAAAATAAACCTATATAATATTGCCTTACCCATCTATATAATGTTAAATTATGAATTTATGGTGCATTAATTTTAAATATTATTTAGTCAATGGCACAAACTTGATGACTGAAAATGGATACTATTGTTTTTGACAAAGGAGCCAACCAATCAATTAAAAGAAAGGAATGGCTCATATTTTATCAATGTGTTAGAAGCAAGGAAAAATTTGGGGAAAAAACTTAAAGTACCATTTTCAATGTTTATTATTCTTTCGCCATTTGAAAACATTCCATTTCAGAAAAGGGAAGAAAAAACAAAATCTTGAAAACTGCATTACTCACTGAGATTAGAACTTTTTAGTACCATTTTTGACATCCCAAACTATTGAAAATTTTATGCTTATCTGCTTTGAGTTGTTTTTCTTATTTTCTCACAAGTAGATGTTCTTAGTTTTACTTTTATTCATATATGAACTGAAAAAATGATTCACAAATTAGAGTTACCTGAGGTAAAGCGGGAACAAACAGGAACAGACATGTTTAAAATCTTACATCTCTGTGCCACGGAGGAGGGGGCAGCTCTGCTTGGCAGAATTCTAGAGTTGATTCCTGATGTGAATGCTTTAAACTGATTCTTGTCAGCAACACTAAAAGAGTATTATTCTGTTCCACAGCCATTTTTAAGGAAATCTTTTCAGAAAATTAAACATCTGAGTGAAAATGTTTAAAGTTTTTATTTTGAATATTTTATTTCCCATAGTCTACATCTATTTTTCTAAAAGTTATAAGAAATAATTTTATATACCGCCTCAGCTGTATAAAAAATGCTTTGAAATTCATGTTTTTCTTCCCTATTCTTTTATGGCTGCCTCATTTTGACTTCAGGATCAGTTATTTTGTTTTGTTTTGTAGTACTAGGAACTAAACTCCAGGCATTCACACTAAGCTCCATCACCAGTTCATTTCATTTTATTTTATTTCATTTCATTTTATTTTATTTTATTTTATTTTATTTTATTTTATTTTATGAGACAGGGGCTCACTAAGTTGCTAAGCTGCCCAAGCTGGGCTCCAGCTTTTGATCCTCCTTCCTCAGCCTCCCACAGGGTCAGCTTTAATAATATCTCATAATCCTGCTTCAGTCCATTATCATCTCAGTTTTCCATACTGGCACATAAGGAAGAACTGAAGCCATTTATCCATGTATTCCAGGGCATCTGTCACCCTCACCCTGAAATAAATCTTATTTATGTGAGATTCCATCTATTTTTGATTTACTGCTTTCTCATTCTTATTGCAAAACCCTGTAAACTTACTCTTTTGACATATCCTAGTAACTTTTTAGTCTGAAGTAAATGTATTAATATGCATTTAAATTTAAGGCTATCTTTTGTACTATTAAAATTATGTCTTATAAATATATACATTTACTTAATTTATAGTATTACATGCAGAAATTGGGATAACACTTCTGTATTTCTCTATGTCTTATTAATGTGAGGTTGGGGTTTTTATGCTTTTTCCAGGACTGCCTTATTCAATGAAGCAAGCTGGGTTTCCTTTGGGAATACTGCTTTTATTCTGGGTGTCCTATATTACAGGTAAGTACTGTTCAGTTGCCTAGACCTACATCTTAAATTGTACAATGACTTCACACACAAGTATATCCTGCCATTAAATTTCCACGTTAATTAAGAAGTGCATCAAAGGATCCTGAAGAATTTAAGCATTATGTCTGAGGAGATTTATTTTTATACTAATCCTTTCCTTTAAACAGATTTTAAAAAGTAGAAGAGCATAATATATTACCCAGCTGAAATCCTTTTCATGTGCCTTTTCGCTTCAGGCAGAAAGGGGTGTGTGGGAAAGCCAGTTTGGAGGTTAAGGCTGAGAGAGGACCATGCTCAGAAAGTGCAGACAGCGGCGCTCTGTGAGCAGGCGCATGCAAATGAGCTGCCTTTGTCAGCTGCATCTGTGCAGGTGGAACTGGAAGCCTGGTGCTCGATATCAGGGTTCACCACCTCTCCCCACTTTGCCTGAACCTGCCCTGTTCCCGGCCTGCCCGTTTCTAAATGCAGCACTGAGGTACTATTAAGTCACTTTCCTCTGCTCCCCTCTTCGTGTAATGGACTCGTTCACTCCAGGTTTTGTCACTCTGAGCTAAACATAGCTCTTACCACTCATAATCCTCATATTCATCTCTTCTGTTATCCCAATCCAAGCCCTGTGATTCCAACAGCTCACCTTATAACAAACCCGGCATCTTCCCTCTGCCTTGGGATCACTATGAAAGAGGCAGCCCCTTCTCTGGAGTGTTGGTCCCTGGCTCAAAAGAGCCACCTTTCTGTGAAGCTTTGACTCCTTTAGACACTTCTACTCCTATATTTCCATAGTCTTCAGCCAATGACTAACTGATAGGGATCCAAAAACCAGCTTCCTGGCCAAACGTGGTGTAGCTGGAGCTCCAGAGTCCCCTCACCACAATGCTAGGACACAGCTAGACACGCCAAAGACCACACCCTTGGTGAGCCGCTTCAGCTGCCTGATCCGTCCACTCCCTTCCAAATTACTGGAGGATTTGGGTCATACAAGTAAATGAATTAGTAATTTACCCTGATTACTTGGTATCATGGGACCCATAACTCTGTGCTTATTAAGAGTTACTGGTATTTAAAACTTGCGTTTCATTTGTTAAATCGTTGTCAATAGATACTGCCTACTCCCTTATCCAAAGATTCACCCTGTCATTTTTAAATTTCCTGTTTCCTAGATAAGCTGAGCTGACAAATAATTAATTTCCACCCAGGCATAATGCTACGGTTTAAGTGCATTGTAAATGTTTACACATACTGTAAGCCAGCAGAGAGAAAACATTAAACAATATACATCACCAGAGAATTCAGGACTTCAAGCAAATAAACAGTTGGCTGAAGCCAAATCATATGATAAGTAAATAAAGCATAGCATAAACGACCACTTTTTAGCAACAAGTAGTCTCTTTAATTCTGTCTTTGTGTTTGTGAAATGTTGAAGAATTATAAATACTTATAAAAATGATTTTATTTTAATTTGCTTTAAGATTTTATATTTGGTGATGAGAATAAAATGACTTTTATTGCCCCAGCATGCTTCAAAAGAAAATTTCACTGTTGAATAGCATTCATTTATTCATGGATTATTTTTTAAAGTTTACCTATCATATATTTACAGAGAGGTCAAAAAATTATAGTCACTGATATCTGAAATACATGAACTTCTTTTTTTTTTGGTAGTACTACGGATTGATCTCAAGCCCTCACACATGCTGAGCAAATGCTGTACCACCGCATTATAGCTCCAACCCTTTTTATTTTATTTTTTGAGACAGGATCTTGCTAACTTGCTGAGATTGGCCTATACTTGCAATCCTCTTGCCTCTGCATCCCAGGTAGCTGAGATTATTATACTCACTGGCTACCGTGTCCAGCTGAAATACCTAAAACTTTTAAGAGAATAGGTTCATGGCCTGTATTTTACAAGCAGATGAAAGCATGTGTATTTATTATTGCCATAACTCTGAAATGTTAACTTTAGGCCATACATTTTGAACTTTCAGAATCCCTCAGCATTCTCATTTCAAGTATGCAATTCTTCCCTAACCCTCACAACATTTATGAAATTGGTTGCCTCCTCTCATGACACAATTCCTCGTTGGTTCTCTTCCTTAGCTGATCAGCAACTCCAGTTTTCCTGTCTTTACCATCTGTCTACTTTCTGACCAGTCCTCCAAATTGCTGCAAGAATTATCTTTCTAAAAACCTGCATTTCATCTCTGTTATTCCCCATTCAGAGCACCCAAAACTTCGTAATGACAAACACAACAAAAATTTATAGCAATCAAATCCCTTCATGACCTGGCCTCAGTCTACATTTTTAGCCTTATCTCTAACGTGTCACCAGCACTCCCTCACAGACATTGCCCTGTACCCATTCTGAACTGTTCAACTGCCCACATATAGGGCGTGTTTATACGCTGCCTCACACCTCCCACTGAGAGTCCTGTTGCCTGACCTTCCTCTTTTTCTCTACCAGGCAAATTCTAGTTCATCCTCTGGACAGCATTCAAATTTTCAGTGGAGCATTTTCCAGCCCCGCCCCACTAAAATTAATAACTACATTCATTATGCTTGCAGAATATTTTTAAATATCTTTATTAGGTCATTTGTTACATTTAGTTAGAATCAGGTAGCCATCTAGCAATCCTGATAGATTGACATTAATTTATTCTTCAAATATATACAGAACACAGTGGGCTAGGGCTTGACACTGCTTCCAGTATAGAAATAAAGAACAATTTTCCACGCCAGTATGAAGCTCACAGCGCAGCGTGCCTGGCAGACAAATACCACGTAATGATAATACATCATGAAAACACCATAATAAAAATCTGTACCCCAGGAGAAGGAAATTGGCATTGAGTTACCCGCAAAGAAGTGGGAATATTCTGGGAAGGAGATAGCGCCACTGAGTGTTCAGGAGGAAAGTGAGTTAGTAAGGAAAGTAAAGGAAAGGTACTGAGTAAGGGAAGTGCACACAGGAAATGTGTGATTCAGCCCTGCTAAAGTGTAGGGGTGATGTTTACAGTGGACAGAAGGGAAACTGGAGCAGGTTGCAGGAGCAGATACGAAGCCTGTCATGTAAAGACAGTCATTATCATTTCCTGAGGGCTGTGTAGATGCTGAGCATAATGCAGCCCCAACACTAAGTCCTTCTGACCCCATGAAGAAAGTGTTCATATTTTGCTTTTATGGAGGGAAAGATTGTGACTTAAGTGGTTTAAAATGACTTACACAAAATCTGCAGTTGGGATATATGGGTAAGTGCATGGATTACGAGGCCAGGCTATCAGGACCTGGGTCCTGACTTTGCCACTACTGCAATGTGCAGATCAGAAATTGATTAACTTTCTGTGTCTCACTCTTCTCGTTTATTAAACAATGATAATAATGGCACATTCTCAGTGTTACTGTGAACATTAAATTAGTTATTATAGGTAAAGCAGCTTAGAAAAGACCTGGAAAGTGGAGTAGCATTGTGAAAGCTTTTGCTAGTGGTTTGTGGTTGTTATTATTATAATCTGACTCCAGATGCAATGGGTTTTTTCAGCCATCATATCCATCCTGTAAAACATAAATAAAACCAGCACAATCTCTCATTTATTTATCCTCTGTAACACATCATGCATTTGGTAGACATTTAAACACACATCTTGAAGACTGAGAAAATAGCCTAAAGATCCAGTATAAACAGTATAAACTGGTAAAAACTAGTTCTTCTCAAATGATAGGAGGACAACCCAGAGAATATAGCATCACAAAGACTGAGAGAAGATAATCAGGTGAAAGGGAAATGGCAAATCGGTCTGAAAGAGCAAATAATATAAGGTGTAAGAAGTACATAATTGGACTAATCAACTTGGAGCTCATTGATGAACTTAACAGAAGACGTTTCATTGGTGTAGGAGGGAATCAGAGTGCAAATCATACAGCACTGTATTTTCTCCTTCGTAGTTTAATGCATTTCCAAGTTACCCAAGAATAAGAAAGAAATCACTATGATAGGAAAAAGAGAGATTTTTAAAAAGTAAGCACCACATCCTGTGCATATTTTTGTACCCAATACAGCCACAGTGTCTTTCAGTAAAAAGGCACAGACATAAATGAAAAAAGAGAAAAATTAACTTTTAATCTTATGATATCCATATATTTATGGTTATATATTTATGGATATATATATATATACATGGATATATATGTTTATACTTTCAAATTTAATTCTAAAATTAAGACTGAATTCTCTAGATTATAAATTTCAAGAAAATTTCTTAGAGTGTTATTTTATTTTGTTACAAAACAAATCTTCTGTATCTCTTAAATCTACTGTTTTCTAAAATGTCCATAGCATTTTTCATTCTCAGCCTGCCCACTTCAAATACCTGTGAAATACATGACTACTTACATCATGTTACTTGGACCTTTGAACCACATCCTGTCATCTGCGGGTGCGTTGTTGGGTTAGGAAATTAAACTGGAACCTTAGCACTTTGATTCTGTGTGCCTTCTTGTCCTGCCCAGTTTGTTGCCTGGATATGGGAAGTATATTGCATCCTGCTTGAAAAATATACAACTGGAAATGTTACAGTTTCATGCAAAGTGATACTTTATGAAAAAAACTGAATGTTCTCATAGCAGAACTTTGTCATTGAATAAATTCTTCTTTTTAAAAGTAGAACAACTATTTTTATTTATTTCTGTTTGAAATGGTTTTTTTATTTTTTTTATTTTAAAGAGAGTAGTAAATGAGAAACAAAGAGATAGAACAGTAGCAGCATACCAATATCACAAACATAAACAAATCAAAGCAAGAACATTCAAAGTGATACAGTCCCAAGACAAAATATTACAAATAACAGTGGTTGTTACATTACATATCACTATCCTCATCTACAATGCTCAGATTAGTATGCGTCTGCAATACATAATGAATGCATTCATCGTGGGGAGTTGCGCGTATGTACATTGCGTCTTACTCTTTATTTTCCTTTCCCTGACCCTCCTCACTTCTCCATCCCTCCTTAGATCCCCTTCCCATCTGCCAAAGGTCTACCTCCCTGTTCCTATTGTCTACCTGTATTTCGAGCTTAAAGTTATTATTCTTTGGGCTTTTCATATAAGAAAAATCATGCAATAAACTCTTCTTTAAAAATTTCCCTTTTCTCTGTGATAATTAAGTCAAAATACTTTGCATCAAATGTATTCTGACCTTTGTCCAATTTTTATTTTTACCGTAGACTTTTCTCTCGTTTTATTGATAAAAGGAGGGGCCCTCTCTGGAACAGACACCTACCAGTCTTTGGTTAACAAAACCTTCGGCTTTACAGGCTATCTCCTGCTCTCCATTCTACAGTTTTTGTACCCTTTTATAGGTAAGATGACTGTTGAGATAAACATCTTAGTGATTTGAATTAACATACAACCATTTTTGAATACAAATAGCTTAAATCATCAGTTAAGAATCATTCAAGAAAAGTTAAAAGTTGAAATATTTCCCAAATTAAATATTTACATCCATTACTAACTGTTTTTTTGGTCTATTTTCTGAGTACTTTTCTGAAATAAACTGAAGGTCATTTTCAACAGTTTAACATTTAGGTTTTCCTTCTAGCAAAAAAATCTAAAAAAAAAAAACCCAAAATGATCTGGGATTGACAGTGAATAAGAGATGATACAGACTACTAGGGCTCAATAAATTCAATTTTTTTAAAAGAAAACCTAAGAAGTTGTAAAAGCCATGCACTAGGATAACATACTATTTAAAGTTTAACCATAATAATGAGTATGTTACTTCATACTTCTTAAATAAATAAAATGTTAATTTAAACCAGTGACCACAATGACTTCATTTCTAAAATCAGTGTTACAGAAGTTACTGTCCAAACAACTAGTTCCATATGCTTCCACAGATGGCTAAGACTATATTTTCCCCCAAAGTCTTACACTTTCTATTAAGGAGTTATTTTGGTGCCTTAAAACTTGCTATTATTATGCCTCACTTTAAGTAGGACATGTGTTCCAAAAAAAGTGTTTAGAAATTGAATTTTAATTGCATTTTGAATGACTATCAAAACTCACTATTTAAAGGTGTTCTGGGATAAATCAATATATAAAGTGAAATATTTTTGTAATACAAATCAGTATCCTATGATAAACTGGTTGTGTGATTATTTTTAAAGTTGTACATATTGGTATTCATAATATATATTTGAAAGTAGTATGATTATGCTAATATTTGGCAAGTTATAACTGATTATACTCAAAATACTTAAGATAATGTACATGATGGTTTATTGATGACTTGTTTTAATTATGCTTTTAGCTATGATAAGTTACAACATAATAGCTGGAGATACTTTGAGCAAAGTTTTTCAAAGAATCCCAGGAGGTAAGCTAAACTAAGACTTTTCAGGCTTTAAATACATTTACTTTATGTAATTATTTATAGTTAATGTAGTTCATAATAACTTACAAGTTCAACATTGGAAAGTGGAAGCATTGAATTATTTCAGATGTCTTGCAATTTCTATGACCCATGTGAACTATTGACCTACTTTTATATATTTTGGTTTTTATTTAGCTAACTAAAATGTTATTATTATTCATACACTTACAATACTTTACATTTCAAATTCCTTATGCTTCATGTCACCAACTGTCTATAGGAATATGTTTTCATATCCTATTTATATTGTATAATTTCTTAAATAAGCATGCCCTTTGTGCCCTTATTTGTGTTAAGCTATAATTTAATGCAGTAAGTTAGCCTTTTTTTACTGTACACCCTGCAAGTTTTAACAAATGTATATAGTCATATAACCACAGCTACAGTCAAGATATACAGCAATTCCGTCATTCTCCAAAACTTTCCCAATACCACTTTGTAGTAAAAAGAAATACTCCCTCATCTGTAGCTTCTGGCAGCCCTGACTGGGTTTCTGTCCCAGCTGTAGTTTTGCTTTCTCTAGAGGATCATGTAAACGGCAGCATCCAGCGTGTAGCTTTCTGAGTCTGGCTCCTTTCGTTTGGCAGGGTGTGTCTGAGGTTTTTTTATGTCTGTGAGTGTAGCAGTAGTTTGTGTTAGTGTTTGTGTGTGAATCTGTGTTTAATTGTTCAGCATTCCATTTTGTGGATGTACAGAAGCATAATTTTTCCTCCAATTAAAGGACATTTGCATTATACCCGGTGTGGGGTGACTACAAAAAACTTCTATAAACGTTCTCAAGTAGATCTTTTTTTTTTATTTTAAAGAGTAAAAGAAGGATAACATAATAATGGGGGGGCTTACCAAATTACAGACAAAGTGGTAGGAAATTATCAGTGGTTATTGTTTTACATATTGTTATCTACAAGATAGTTTCTCAGGAAAACAAATAGACAAATAATAGTGAGTTACAGACAAAAGAGGTAGGAGATTATCAAGAGTTGTTGTACTATACTTTGGTATCTTCAAAGTGGCTTCTAAAGAAAATAAATAGAGCTATACATGAGTGACTTATTGAATAATCATTAACTTTTCTCAATGGTTGTAGGAAACACGTAATAATGGACATGCATCCATTTACAAAATAGGAAAGGAACAATACAAACATTACTGAGTTATGGATAGATTAGTAGGAAAATATCAGTGGCTGCTGTAATACATGGTGGCATCTTTGAAGTGGTTTCTCAGGAAGACAGAGATACGCAAGAAGGATCTAACAAGTAGTTACAGCCTAAGGGTTGTCAAAAATCAAGTGAGCCGTCTGGGGCCAAAGCCATTTTTTGTAGCATTTTCTCTCCAGCCTCCCATCGCATTGGGACCCCACAACCAGTTAGTGTCCTCTCCCCAACTGTCAGCACAGGCAGCAGGAATCCTGCTGCAGACTTCTCCGGAGCTCTACCACAGCCTGTACTGTCAGGAGAAGAATGGCTTCCAGGGAGTCTCCTCAGGACTTGTGCAAGGTCCTCCTGGTTTACAGCTTCGGAGCAGCTCTCATGCCCCCAGTCCACAGGACCTCTGACTCCTCGGGCTTAGTCTGCGTTCTCATATTCTCCAAGTCCTTGTTCAGCAGCTGCTCCTCTGCTGACTCTGGACCTTTCTGGTTCTCAATGGCAAGAGCAAGAGTGTCCCATTGCATGGCATGTATTCCCAGGGGTTTCTCCATGTTTGAATGATTCACACACGTCTGTGGGTGAGCATCTGAAGCCAGTGCATGGTGGGCCAATTGCATCATTGGTTCTCTGTGTCATGGTTGTTTTCAATTGAGCAGCGGTGGGGGCCTGAGAGCCTGCGCGCAACAGAGCTCACCACCGCATGGCTCACCCTGCGCTGGGGGGCCCTTCTTCCGGGAGTCTACGACGCAGGGAGTGAGCCGGTCAGAAGACCGGCGCTCACTGCCCGTGGCTCCCTGTGTGCCAGGGGTCCTCTTTCCGGGCACCTACGAGGCAGGGAGCCAGCCAGCCAGTCAAGTAGGTCTTTACAACATGTACCATAACCTCACTTCCCATTCAGCTTTTCACAATATCATTGTTAGAATAATTCAGAAAGGATTAGCCTGTTTTCTCTTAAGAAAAGTATCAGAGAAACTAATTGGAAATCTGTTAAAATAAAGATGCAGAATTTTATAGCATCACTTAAGTATAGATTCATCCTTAAGTTATTTTACATTTACATTTTTGTGATTGATTTCTATTGTTACATGGAGTTTATTAACTCAAAGTCATTGTCATTGAGGTAGATTTTACATTGGTTGTTATTTTTAAATAATTATAGCTCAACTATTTAGTCATGTCATCAATGTGTTACTTCTACCTACAAACACTAAATAATATTTGTTGTATTTTAGTTGATCCTGAAAATTTGTTCATCGGTCGGCACTTCATTATTGTGCTTTCCACCGTTGGCTGCACCCTGCCTTTGTCCTTGCACCGAGACATAGCGAAGCTCGGAAAGGTAATTATTGTATTTTAAATAGACATAGAAATGAACATTGTTACCCCCATTAATTTTGTTTATCCACAAACCATTGGGCAAAATTCTTAATTACAATGTTTTTAGTTTCTTCTGGTTTATGATTGTTTTACAGTGAACTGTGGTTGAATTATTAACTTGCTTTTGGGAACTGACGGTTAAAAAGTTGATGGAAGTGAACTAGAGATGTTCATCCTTTTTCAAGATAGATGCCCTAACTGATATTTAATGGCACATTTCTAAATTTAGAAAATACAAAGAAATATACTTAAAGCAACTTTCATTTTTGGAAAATGTTCCAATTTTTGTACATAGCTTCAACAATATTCAAGAATATTCTGACTACTGTACTTTTTATTGCTAGTAATCATTCAGTCATAGCATGAGTATATCAAAAAGGGGTGTGTGTGTGTCTGTGTAGGTGTGGGTGCACGAATTAGCTGAATGACTGAACTACTCTTTTATTTCACATGTTCAGTGTAGTTATTAATATTACCCTCTAAATACAGAAAGCAAAGCATTCATAAAAAGCAAGCTACTAATACCTACCATATCAATACCTGAAGATTTCCCTCTAAATATTTCTTGAAAGTATCATACTGAGATGTTTAAATACCTAAATCTCCTATTAAGCAAAGTAGTATGGAGCCCTGATCTGGAGTCAGGCTTGCTTGCATTTGAATTCACCCTCTGTCACTTTCTAACTGTATGAACTTAGGCATGTCATTGAATCTGTCTGTTCCTGGGAAGAACCATGGACTCAGCTAAATTGGAAACACTTTCTAATTAAAAATTAATAATTTATAAAACAAAATTAAAGATAATGATATAAAGTAAAATCAATTTGATTTTTTTATTTACCAGAGAAATACTTATTAGAGAGACTAAAGTAAGCTGAATCATTTAAAAAATAAAAATAAAAACACAGAGCCAGGCATGGTGGCGCATGCCTATAATCTTAGCATTCAGGAGGCTGAGGCAAAAGGATGATTGAGCGTTGGAGACCAGCCTGGGCTACAAAGTGAGCTCAAGTCTGGCCTGAACTGTATAACAAGACCTTGTCTCAAAAAGACAAAAAAATAAAATAAAACAAAATAAGTAAAAAAATAAAAACACAAACCTATTGCACAGAGCACATACACACACTGCAGTTTCTATTTGAGCCAGTTAAAATAGTCACAACAGAGAAGCAGAGGCAGAACCATTAGCGAAAAAAATGACAAAGCTGGAAAGCAGAGAAAAAATGCAAAGGCATCAAAACTGGAGGGGGTAGTATATGTGTTGTGCTGGAAAAGAAAGGGCAAGAGAAAGATAGAAGTAGAAGAACAATTATAAATTTCTTAAAAGGGCAAATCTATTTAAAGCCTGAAGAATGAAGAAAACAAATTTTCATTTTATATTTATAAACTAAAAGTTCTCATTTCATACTTTATGCACTAAAAACATTTAAGGCCCTCTACAAAATTACAGCAATAGTCATATTTGACATGTGCTCATTTATGGGGGTAACAGGACAATGATCTCACAAGAAGTTACAGGCCTAAGATTATCCACACCCGTTTATAAGAATATAAATTGTGGAAGAATTGGATTTAAAAATCTGTGCATTAGTTTATCCAAGTAAAAAAGAAAAGTACATAATATTTTACATAAAGAAAAGATGTTCTAAATCTATAACATGTTTTCTTTTGCAGATCTCCTTTATTTCTACAGTCTTAACAACTCTAATTCTTGGAATTGTAATAACAAGGGTAGTTTCACTGGGTCCACACATGTAAGTTTTGCTGTTACACTTGTTAGTCTTTGATTTGTAGCCTTCACTGAGATATATACAAGACATATTATAATTCAGAAATATAAAGCAATCAGAACTGTAAAGAAGATATAGAAATATAAATAACTAGAAACACCACTTGTCTTCAGTATTTGAAAAATAGGAGAAAATAATTATATGTAAGTAAACGTATTTTTCTGTTGAACCCTACAAGATTAATGGAATAAAATCAAGTTTAGTTAGCATTTCGCAAGCCATCCTTAAGCACTAGAATAAGGAAGAGATTTTGAAAGTGATAAACAGGAGTGAGGTAGACATTGATTTATTTTTAACAATTTCATCAGTCAAGCTGAAATGAAAAGGGTAAAGAATATGACTGTTTTTTTTTCATCCATTGAACTAATGGTAGTCACTTTGAAAACTGTCTTTTATTCTGTTCTAATATTATATTCTTTATTTTGTTTTAAACCATTCTATTGTTTGTTAATTAACACTAATAGTTGGTAGCACTATTTATTTTTAATGTTATTATTTGACCAAGGAAAATGTTGGCAACTTGGTATTACTTTTGCATTTTTCAAAACTATCACTTGTGCTTATAATGTAAAAGTAGGTGCATTGTTAATCTAAACTACAGCTGTACAGTAAGTTTACCAGGTAAGAAAACCAAGTAGCTTATAGTCATAGTCCCAAGAGCATACTGGAATAAGATTAGTTTAAATTGGCATTAAACAGAGTTGCATTTCCAAAGCACTTAATTTTGAACTTGCTCTGTACTCCAGGCTGAACATAATAAATAATTATTAATAAGTAAGTATGAGATGTAATCAAAATACACAGTGAATTTTTAAATTTAAAGATTTATTACAATAAAAGACACATTGCCATTTAGTCTTCCTCAAAATATCACCCTTCATTTCAAATACAGTTATCCCATCATTCTTGTCACTTTCTGAAAGCAGTTCTGGAATTTGACTTTCTAACAGAAAGGCAGGCTTGAAAACATCACAATCAATCCTTACCCTCTTTACTTAACCAAATCTGGCAACCTGCCACTTCTGGCTCTTCCCCACAGTCAGAATGACTACAAAAGGTAAACCTTTGAACTGATTCAGGACATCAAGACAGTCAAGATGGCAAAATGCAAAACCCTCACAAAAGAGGACTTCCAGACTGAAAGTGGCAAGGACAATGGGATAAGTGCATCTGAAGGGAAGAGGAATATTTTAAGGTAGATTAATGGCAATGTGTCTTTCGCCATTACAAACTTTTAAAAGTTTAAATATCCACCATATTTTCCAACCACACCCCTTACACTATAAGGAGTTTATACTAGACAAGACAAAGCAAAATTAATTTAAGGCATGATGTCTCAAGCAGCACAAAAATCTGGGTCTTTAGTGCATAATAGCTGTTAGAAAAGATCACAAAGGAAATCTGGTTAACAGTTCTGGTTGATAATTCAGTCCACAAAATAATTTGTTTTCTTATTGCTTATGTGCTGCTCTCCAAAATAACTCAATTGTATATGCTTATGATAGGCTTTTTAGCTTATCAAGAAAATATCAAAAAAGAAACCCTCAAATTTATTTGAAAGAAAGTATGAAATAGGTGATCTAATTGCCTTTCAGATAGCTTTGGTTTGTAAAGTGAATTCCTATTTTGAGGAGATTTAAATAAAAGGAAGCATAAACATCCATCATGTTTATATTAATTTTTTCTTTAAATCTTTTCATCCTGATTCACAGTTATATTAGTCAGCTCGTGCTGCCAGAACACACCACCACAGATTGGGTGCTTTAAACAGAGATTTATTTTCTCCTAGTTCTAGAGGTTAGAAGTTAAAGATCCGGGTGTCAGTACGTTTGGGTTCTGGCAAGGGCACTCCTGGATTTGAGAAGACAGCTTCCTGCTGTGTCTTCACATGGTAGAGAAACAGCAAGATCACTGTCACCTCTGCTGATCAGGGCACTAACCCCATCATGCGGGACCCCCTCAAGGCTTCATCTAAACCTAATTACCTCCCAAAGGCTACTTCTCCAAATACCATTACTCCGAGAGTTAGGGCTTTAATATGTGTATTAGTAGGAGACAATTCTGTCTCCAGAAGTAGAGGTTTTGAAATGTACTTGGCTTGCTTTAACACGACCATTTAGTGAACACGTAGTGAGTGCCTATCTTTTGCAGCTGGGCTGCATCCTGACAAACAAGCAGAGAGAAGCATAAATCAGTGCTTGCTTGTCTTGGTGGCTTTCGTACTGCTGACACCCACCAGTTAAAGGAGGGAAGGTTTATTTTAGACCACACTTTGCAGAGGCTTCAGTCCATAGTACACTGGCTCCAAGGCAGAGTGGCACGCAAAAGGGACATCACAGAGGAGGAACAGTCCATGGTAAAACAGGCAGAAAGCAGCAAAGTGAAGCAGCAGCAGCAAGCCTCCTTTTCCCTTTTCTCCCATCCAGGCTACAAGCCTTTTAAGTGGTGCCACCCACAACCAGGGTGGAGTTTTCCATTACCCACACCCAGAAGTACAATAAAGCAATTAGTGGACTAACCCAGTACTGCACAGCCTTGATCCCAGTATCACACCCTCGATCGACATTTATGCACCCCAGATCTAACCACCTCTGAAAAGCTCCACCTACGAATGCATGAGACTTTGAGGGGACATCTAGATACAAACCATAACACTGCTGCAAGTTGTTCACAAGTATGGAAAAGGAGTTTATTTTTCAAAAAATAAGAAAAAGGAATGACAAAGTACAAGTGTGATAAGTATAAAGTAGAAGCATAAAAACAGGAGCAGAGACAATGCAACAACAACAAAAAAAAAATGGGTTGCTTAATGGTGAGTCCAGATCAGGAAACTTTTCCCACAAAGTATTTATAAAATAATACTTTTTTTTTGAGACAGAGTCTTTCTATGTAGTTCAGGCTGGCCTTCAACTCCCTGTGTAGCCCAGGCTGGCCTTCAACTCACAGCAATCCTCCTGCCTCAGCCTCCCAAGTGCTGGGATTACAGGCCACCACACCAGTGTTATAAAAGTATATTTTCACTTCTACTGATACTTATTCATTATCTATTGTGTCAGGCAGCTTTGAATTTCAAAAGATAAATTTATGGCAACAAAAAGTTAACAAGTACTTTAACAATAAATGATAATATGGACTAAAATTTTTATCAAAGGAGACCAAACTTTTAATTGAAAATTTTCATTGTGAAAAATGATTTTAAAAAAGAAATCATCATGTTTTCTTCAAAAGGTCTTCTGTATTTGGTATATATAGTACCATGAGACAATATTGATGGGGGAAAAATAGCTAAATTAAAAAGTCAATCCTCATTTGTGTCCCAAGGTAATCATGTAAAGTAATGATTTCCAACTCTAATTTCACGTCAGAATCACTTGAATAGCTTGAAAAACTGTTGATGCCAGGGCTCCACTTGCAGAGATTCTGACACAGTTGATTTAAGGGCCAGGCAATTGGATTCATTATTCAGCAGTTAATGAGTTTTTGAACAGCATCTAGAAAAAAAAGAGATATTTAGATCATGAGGATACATTAACTGATACATCACTTCCAAAGCTGCACAGAGATTCTACGTCAGCTTAGTTACTGTTGTGCGATTATTTTTCATGATGCATTCTTCAGTTAGTCTCAGTATTTTTATACACAAATAGTCATGTGCACACATGAATACAAAGAGAAATAAAAGATCTTTTCTCTCAAGGGGCTCACAGCAGACTAGAGGAGATAAAGCCACAAGAATGACTACCAGGTAGGCAGTAGAGCTGGAGACAGAAAATTGGAAGGGGAGCCTACTTCTGGGTGGAGCTAAGTGAATTGATTTTGCAGCAGAAGAGCTAAGTATTTTGGTTGTAAACAAAATGCAGCTTACAAGTTTCTCTCAGAGTGATATAAGGTTTTATCTGAGCCTTTGAAATTTTTCTAATAACAGGGGTTATTTACTTAACTCTTTCAATATTTAAACTTTGAGGAAGTGTGTTTTTTACCACCATGTCGCCTTTTATTTCTGTTTGAATACTACTGCAAACAACTTCTGTTTGTCCCTATTTACAGTCAGGTTAATTAAGTCTCATGTTCAAGGGTTGGCATGGAAGCTAGTCAAGCAGGCTTCTTTCTGAAAATATGACAGCGGAGAATGCTTATAATCCATAAAACATGAGAAATTCAATACACCATGTGTGGTTTTCTTCATTTTTGGTTCAGATGAATGATCAGAAAAGCTTTAGTTTTTTTCATAGGGCTTTCAAAATGGTATTTGAAAAAATCTTTAAACCCACTATCAGAAAACAGGAAGGTCTGTAATGGCTATTGGTATTGACCTGGTTACTATGGAAACACCTTTTTAGTGGTTGTGTTTTAAAAATAAAACACAATTCAATTTCCTTTTCCATAACTCAGAGAGCCATAAATTCTGCTTTTTTTATGTGATTTCAAATATCTCACAGTCCAATGACTTTCAATTCTTTTTGGAAATTAGGTTCGGTTTTATTGTATTTTCTAACCTTTTGCTTTCTAAAAACTGAGGTGGCAAAGCAATTTAATTGCTTTCCAGAAAGTCTGCAAGCATAAAAATGCAGTTACACAGTTCTTCTATTTTTTCCCAAGAGGAATAAGAGGCATTATTGTTGCAAAAACTTTCATTAATATTCAACTTTTTTGCATTCAGACTGAAAATGAAAACATGCAATTTAAACTTAAAGCTATCTCACTTTTATATGGCATTTCTTTTACAGAATTTAATCAATAGTTTTGTTTTCTAAACATAATAAATGTGTCTACACTTTTAACAGGCATTTCTACACAAAAAAAAATCTCAAAATCTCCCAAAATCTCAGTGCATATTGCTGTCCTTACCCTTTATCCATTTTAACTGTGCAGTTTTACAGTTTAATGCTACACATGAAGAACTAGAGGGGTTTAAAGACAAGATAAAATACTGGGTAATGACAGAGGAAGAGGATATGTTTGAG